TATATATATATATATATATAAAATTATTAAATATTAAATATTACTTATAACTTGGATCTTGGCTAAAACAGACCGACTTCAGGCGTACTGAGGGAGATAAGTTTGTTCTTCAAAGACTTATGTTCTACCACATTAAGGGAAGAAAACCTATTTCAAATAAATCAGAACATTCCTGTAATCAGTAATAAGCTTGAAATAATTTTTCCATGTGGTTTCTTTGATGTGATGGAACACCTTCTAATTCACCTTGTACACGAGGCGCGACTTGGAGGGCCGGTTCAATGCATGTGGATGTATCCATTCGAGAGGTAATGATCAAACCTTGATTTATTCTTGTAATTTTCTTTAATGATATCGTCTAATATGATAATGTGTAGGACTATCGACAAGTGTAAACGATTTATTAAATAGAGGAATAGGATTGAAGGATCCATATGTGAAGCCTATCTTGCAAAGGAAACTGCCCATTTTTGTTCTTACTACTTCGACGGTCATGTGCCATGTGCCAGAAATAGGCCCAATCGGCACAATGTCGTGATTGAGATTGATCCATTATATCCACCAATATCCACATTCAATCAACCAGGCCGAGGTTCTAAAGATCGAACAAAAAGGGGCCTAAGTAGTATGGAGTACAAATCAACTTCAAATCATGTGTTGCTAAATTATCCGGAAGTTCAACCCTTTCTTAAGTAAGTGTTGACGTAAGATTAATTTACATGGACTACTATTTAACTTGGTTGATGCAACTAACAAAATTTTTAATGTGTTGCTCAGTGACTTCGTGAGTCAATTTGGCCATGATATTGTATATTCTACATTTGAGGCATGGTTTAAAGAGTGTGTAAGTGCATCTTACATACTTTCACATGTGAATATACATACTTGGTCACTTGTGAATATACTTGTTCACTTGTGATTTATTTAACACTACACGTAGGTCAATAATCCAAATAACGGTGTTAATTAATTTTTAAAAGATATATCTTAGGGACCTACACCTATAATTACAACTATGCCAATGTATTTTGTGAATGGTTACAAATTTCACATCGAGGAATGCTCCAAGTATAAAAAAAAAAAAAAAACTATAACAGTGGGTTGTGTGTCAAAGGCGGTGAAGGCAACCAAAATGGGAAAAATGATTATTATGGTGTGATCAAAGAGATTCTAGAATTATCATATTCAGGTTGGCCAAATAAGAAGATCATACTTTTCCGATGCAAGTGGTTTGACCTAACACATAGAAGAGGTACAAATGTACACTTGCAGTATAACATAATTGAGGTTAATAAAAAGAGGGAGTATGATCTCTATGATCCTTTTATAATTACAGAAAAAGTTAGGCAAGTGTATTATGCTCCATATCCATTGCGGAAGGATAAAGCTGATTGGTTGGTTGTAATCAAAACTAAGCATGTTGGTATGGTGGAAATTGCTTACCAAAATGATACCTCAAGTGCTAACCAAATGGTTTGGAGCATCCTCAACGCATATTAGAAGAAGTTAATATGGAGGAAATAACAATCATAGAAAATGAGGACGAAAAATCACCTAATGAAAATGAAATAAGTGAAGAGGAAGAATTTTAGGACAAGGAAGGATATTTCGAAAACGACTAACATGTTAGTTTTTTCAAGCGCTCTCAACTTATATAGATTTATATTCTCAATTCTAACATTTTCTTTAATTTATGCAGATTATCGGTAGGGGTCGAGGTAGGTCTAGGAAGGATAAGAGACCTATTGATCATGATGATGGTGCTACACCCTCGCTTCCTTCCACTCCACACTTGCATCCCTCTGCTGCTGATGGCCGACAGCAATCTTCTAGGCACACATCTTTTCCACCACATCCATCTACTCATCAAACTACCTACCATTCACCCTCCCAACAGTATTCTTACCATTCTCCACCATAGGGCTATACTCCGCTTCCTCCACATGATCCAGCATATAGTTACATGGGTCCATCGAGTCAGCAGTCATAGGGCCATGTGGTGAAACACCCACCATCTGCTCCATTTGCTTCATCACCAGTTGGATAGCATCCATCTAGATTTTAGCCAGATGGGTCGCAGTAGTGGTATGGATCGCATCAGGCGTCTAGATCGCAGCAGGGGTGTGGATCGCAGCCATCTCCACAGAGTTCGTCTCCTAGTATTTCTAGACTTTGCCTTCGGGATAGTTGCGCTGAGCCAGATGCCTCCCCTTCTGTGCATGTTTTAGATTTATCGGAGGAAGATGATCTAGAGGAAGTGCGGTATGATCATTATCATAGGATGATCATCAGGCCTAAGGGCAATGGGTAAGATTTATTTATTACTTCTATGTTTTTGCTGAATTAGAATAGCTAGTCTTGTTTATTTAATGTAATTGCTATGTTGCAGGTTCATACCTAATCATCGGACTACAAAGATAATCACTGAAGCTCTTGGCCGGTTGTATGATACACCCTATGCGACTTGGAGTGAATTTCCACCGGAGCTCGTGGAACAATTTTTCAACCAATTTAAAGTTTTAATACAATTCTTATCTATTTAAGAATTATATTAACAATATTTTCATCTAGCATTACACACTTTATTTGCAAACTAAGTGTGCCTGAGAGGACCGGCATAACAGTGCCATTCTTGCAAATTTTGAGTTCAAATGTCGTAAGAGACAATCTGATTCCTTCTGTTATGCTCAGAAGAAAAGCAAGAAGCCTTCATGGGTTCTACCGCACATATGGGAGGATCTGCTGAGGCAGTGGACTACTGAGAAGTTCAAGAAGAGGAGTGAATAGGGAAAGAAGGCCCGAGTATCTGAGAAGGGTGGCTCCTTGCGCTGTGTGGGTGCAAGGAGCATGGAGACTGCGAGGAGACTATTGGTAATTTCTTAAAATATTTAATTCTATTTTTATCGAACTATATTTATATATTTTAATTTAGTTAACACGTTTTATTATATTTGTAGGTAAGCAATATGGGAGGAAGATGACTCATGATGAGTTCTTCATGGAGACTCACATCCGGAAGAAGAAGGCACCGACAGATCCAACTTGATAGGTCGAGGAGCGGGCGGAGACTACATATGTAAGTTTCATAACTACTATAACTTGAAATTAATGTTTATAATATTATATAGTTAATAATTTTCTATCTTCTAAATAAAGGGCAACTATAAGATTAATGTGGAGGAGTACACGCAGATCTCTTGCCACCGAATGAGAAAGACGAGCGACCACCCATTTCAGACGAAGAAGCACAGAAGATATGGTTGGATGTTGTCGGTGGTCCTAAAAAGGGGATTGCATACGGCCTTCCAAAGAGATCATTTCGGCGTTATAGGGCTGAATTACAAGGTATAGGGACTTCCGCCCAGGGCGAGGCAATAGATAGGCCGACTCTCTCATCTATGGAGAAGAAGATTGCAAAGCTGATAGCAGAGCTTGAAGAGACAAAGGCTAGAGAACAAAAGAGAGATAAATAATTTGATACCCTTCAAATTCATCTAGAAAAGAAGGGCCAACAATTTAATCTCCTTCAAGGTCAGCTGACCAATCTTCTTGCTAGTGGTGCTTTCCCCATTCCCGGGTCTCGTGAACCTTCCCCAGATGCTAATTCTTCTCATCGTGATCCTTCGAACCAAGACGACGATGAAGCTTCTAGTAGTGAAGATT